AGCTTTCCTGTCCCCTTCTGCCTTCTAGTCCTTGTCCCTGGACTGCTGTGCCTCATTAGTCCCGTTTTGTTTTATGGGGCTGTCCAATCCCCGGCTGAATGGTGAACCTCGGAAGTGACTTCACCACTGAGCTAAAAGGGTGTCCAGGAGCCATACTCTCAGGGTTTCTCCAGTCTGTCAGGCCAGTAAATCTTGTCTGTTTTTGTGTGTTAGAATTTTGTCCTACATCCTTCTCCAGCTCTGTCCAGAACCCTCTGTTGTGATCCCGGTCAGAGCAGTCTTATACTTTTTACTATATAAACAGACCACGATTAATTTATTTTCTCCTCTGTTGACATTTAGATTGCTCCCAACAGTGCTGAAGTAAACACTGCTCCATACTTCTCCTTACACTCTTTCCAGGAATACACCCTAGAGGATGCATATCTTCAGCTTTAGTAGATACTCTCATCAGCCATTTTTAAAGTGTAGAGAGCCTGTGTTTTCTTTAAAAGAGACAGTGTACTGTAGTGTCTAAGAACACAGAATCCGTAGCCAGACTGCCTGGGTTCAAATCCCAATCCTACTGCCTCCTTTGTTTTGGGCAAGTTAAATTACATCTCTGTGCCTCAGAGTCCTCATCTTTAAAATATTATAATAATATAGTGAGTGTTTGTGAAGCTCTCTTACTGGCCTGCAGTAAGGCACTTTATCAGTAAAGTGAGAGATAAAAATAAACATGAGAGAATCTTTCGGGGGAAATACCAAGATCAAACGCAATCATCAAAAATGAGAAAGAAAGGACAGCAGCAAAGTCCTGGGGCAGGGGCTCTGAAAGGGCCCTTAGTGTTTCAGTAATTTTCATGGTGTCCGTAGGCCAAAGAAATACCTAACAGTTCCATGTAGTAAGTATTTAGGTCTAAACAACTTAATTATGTAAGTCCTATCAACTTAGCATCTGCTGGGCATGGCACAATCTCCTAAACCTTGGAATCACACTGGACACCACCACTCCATTTCCTGTTCCACACTGATTTGGGGGATATATTTGCTTTTCATAACAGCAATCGCCAAAAATCCAGACTTGCAGGATATCACATCATCGAAAGGAATTATAGGAATCTAATGCTGAAACTGTCAACTACCTTGAATATAGTTTTCACGGTGTCTGACAGATGTCACTGTTTCTCTCTCAAAATTTAAAATATCCTGCAGTGCCTGGTGAGTTCACTGCAGTGCCTGGGGACACCTAAGCACAAAACTTAGGAACTGTGGTGTCAAGACAGTCCTCGCTCCAGAGCCAAAGCCATCTCCATGAGAAACCACACGTAATGTTTATTATTTGCTTTTGATTGCCTTACTGTGTAAGTCCCTTCTTAGTTGTACAAAATTGGTACAGCTGGATATTATTAAGGAGATACTACAGTGGCTTAAAGTAGAGGTTTCAATTCCTAACCTGACTACCATTTGTTGCAAGATCTTAATTGTTATTCAGAACAGTTCTAACAGCTTAAGAGCTATTTTGTAAACGAAGAAACTGAGATTTAGAAATCATGAGTAACTAGCTCTAACTTGTATCAGAGCTAGAAAGTGGCTTAGCTGGTATCTGAAACTGTCTGCCTGACTCCAACACCAGGTCCTTTCCACCATAAAACCCGTTGCTGTCAAGTCGATTCTGACCATAGCAACCCTACAGGGCAGAGCAGAACTGCTCCATAGGGTTTTCATGGCTGAAATCTGCTTTACGGAAGCAGACTGCCACATCTTTCTCCCACGGAGTGGCTGGTGGGTTTGAACCACCAACTTTTTGATTAGTAGCTGAGCTCTTAACCACTGTGCCACCAAGGCTTCCTTTCCACCATGCTGTCTCATAATTTCATAACTTACTAAACTGACCTCTAACCAACATAAGAGACTGCCCCAGAATCTCTACAATTTTACCTTTCAATCAAGAAAGACACTAGCTATATTGAATATAATGATACTCAAGAAGTAGGGTCATGTGGCCACCCAAGATACTCCACTGGTCTCATCCCTTCAGGAGCAAGGGAAAATGAAGAAAACTAAAGACACAAGGGAAAGATTAGTCCAAAGGACTAATGGACCACAACTACCATGGCCTCCACGAGACTGAGTCCAGTACAACTAGATGGTGCCTGGCTACTACCACTGACTGCTCTGACAGGGATCACAATAGAGGGTCCTGGACAGAGCAGGAGAAAAATGTAGAATAAAATTCTAACTCAAAAAACACCAGACTTACTGGCCTGACAGTATCCTGAGAGTATGGCCCCGGGATACCCTTTTAGCCCAATAATGAAATCACTCCGGAGGTTCACCTTTTAGCCAAAGATTAGACAGACCCATAAGATAAAACAAGACTAAAGGGGCACACCAGCCCAGGGGCAAGGACTAGAAGGCAAGACAGGACAGGAAAGCTGGTAATAGGGAATCCAAGGTCGAGAAGGGAGAGTGCTGACATGTCATGGGGTTGTTAACCAATGTCATAAAACAATATATGTACTAATTGTTTAATGAAAAGCTAGTTTGTTCTATAAACCTTCACTAAAGTACAACAAAAACAAAACCCATTGCCATTGAGTCACTGAACCTATAGGACAGAGTAGAACTGCCCCCTAGTGTCTCCAAGGACCAGCTGGTGGATTCAAACTGCCAACCTTTCGGTTAGCAGCCAAGCTCTTAAGCACTATGCCACCAGGGCTCTGAGGATTTGATTCAGGTTATTCTATTAAATTATCAGTATTTGTTTGTTCGTTTATTGCCTTTTTGGTTAGGTGCCGTCAAGTCACTTCCAACTCATAGTGACCCCATCTGAACAGCAGAACTGCTCCATAGGGTTTCCTAGGCTGTAATCTTTATGGGAGCAGATCGCCAGGTCTTTCTCCCTTGGAGCCAGCCACTGGGTGGGTTTGAACCTCCAACCTTCCAGTCAGCAGCCGAGCACTTAACCACTGCACTACCAGAGCTCCTTATTTATTGTCTATGGACATCCAATTGTCCCATCGCAATTTGTTGAAAAAACTTTCTTCTACTGAATTGCTTCTGTATCTTTGTCAAAAATCAATTGGGTGTATTTGTATTGGTCTATCTCTGGGTTTTGTATTCTGTTCCACCGAGCTAAATGTCTGTTCCTTCAGCAGTAACACACTGTTTTGACAGCTATATAGCAAGTGCTAACATCAGGTAGTGATTCCTCTCACTTTATTCTTCTTTGTCAAAATTATTTTAGCTATTCTAGTTCCTTTGTCTTTTTATATAAATTTTAGAATATTCCTATCTGCAAAAAAAAAAAGTCGGGTCACAAAAGAGAAAGAAGGAAACCAAAGACTCAAAGAAGAAACCAGTCTACAGGACAAAAAGTCTACACGAACCATGGCCTCACCTACCCTGAAACCAGAACCACCACATGATGCCTGGCTATCACTACCAACCATTCTAATCAGGGCCACAACAGATGGAATGTGACAGAACGGGAGAAAAACGTGGAAAAGAATCTCAAATTCTTTAAA